TTGTATTATTTAAAACAACTTCTTTCTATTTAAATATATTTTAAAATGTAATTTATTCCTGTGATCAAAGCTATATTTTCAGCATCATTACTCCTGTGTTAAGTGTCACATGATCCTTCAGAAATCATTCTAAAATGCTGATTTGCTGTTCAAGAAACATTCTTCTTCTTATTATTATTATCATCAATATTTAAAACAGTTGAGTACATTTTTTTTCCAGGATTCCTTGATGAATGGAAAGATCCAAAGATCAGCATTTATCTGAAATAAAACGCTTTGTGACATTATACGTATACCATTCAAAAATATAAAATGTTTGGAAATAAATTATAGAAATTAATACTTTTATTTAGCAAGGATGCTTTAAATCGATCAAAAGTGATGATAAAGACTGGAGTAATGATGCTAAAAATTCAGCTTTGAAGTCACAGGAATAAATTACATTTTAAAATATATTCAATTAGAAAACAGTTCTTTTAAATAGTAAAAATATTTCAAAATTGTACTGTTTTTTATGTACTTTGGATAAAATAAAAGCATAAAAGCAAGCTTGGTGAGCAGAAGAGACTTCTTTAAAAACATTAAAAATCTTACTATTCAAAAACTGTGTGTCATATTTTCATTTTCATATTATACATAATATTGTGATAACTAAATTTAATAATAGAATTCAAAAATGAATAGCGATCAGTTATCTATCTTTCTGTCTATATATAAATATTTAAAATAATATTTTATTCATTTATAATAAATAAAAATTTGTAAAAATAAATCAATTTTTTGTCATATTTGAGATACATAAGATGTAAAGTAAATAACAATAAAGCAAAAAAATGTCTGCTTTGAATCACTTAATTTTCTTTAGTTTAACCAAATTTACTGTCTGATTGATTGTCAGTATGCTGCATATGTGGTACATTATTATTAGGTATGCTGCATTTTTACAGTGAGGCCTGTTTCTCTGACATGTGGTAAGGATTTGGACACTCAGGTTAAAGAGTTTACTATGTCAACGTCCTCAAACTTCCAGATAACACATGAAGAGTCTCTCTCATGCTGGGCTCTGTGTCTGAGCACATCTTCCTCCTGCTCGCCGCTGTTTGCTTTGGACTCCACAATTCATGCATTGGGTTTGTTAATCTAAGAGAATCATTATTTAGTTTGCATAAAAGATAATTCAGTTTTTCTTTCCTCGTTTTTCATGGTAGATCCCACGAGGCTGAACTTCAGAAGGAAGGCCAGTAGATTTTGACAACGTACAAGCAGAGCATTTGTTTTACTCACCCTTGAATCAAAGTTTCCTTTGTGTGTGGGACCGGATCTGTTTCCCAGGCCTGCAGACTCAGGAGGGTCCTTTGAGTTCAAAACAACAAAGAGGCCTGCGCCTCCATTGACTTCCAAGAGCTAGAACAGAATCGCATGTCCTCCCGCACAGAAAAACAGGCAGATAGACGGGCAACAGCCTGAGTAAACAGATCTCTGGATCTATAAAAACAGACTTCACTTGCTCCAAAACGAAGTTGGCTGGGGAGTGTCTATGTTCGGAAATTATGTAATGTAATTCTACCGTGTACTGCCTTTTACTTTTGATTTTTTTTTTCTCAAATTTTTTTCTTTGCATTTTTTAAATCCAATGTTGTGTAAAAATGTCTGATCAATTAAATAAGTCAAGAAGGTTTTAAAGATCATCCTTGCATACTAGCAGCAGCAGGTCAAGTTGAGGACTCTGCACAGTGCACTATGCCTGCATGCTGCATTATTTGGCCATCTGGCTATTCTATACATACAAAAATGTGCATATTTCAACAGTATATGCATTGCATACTGCAAAGACTGCATAAATAGTATTGTAGTTTGCACTTTTGTACATTCCCATGGTTTACAGGATAAGATAGGTAGGAAGTGTTAACCGATCAGTAACTTACCCAGGTGAGGTCAGGTAACCTAAACATGGGTTTACACTCTTTCCCCCATAAACTAAAAGCTGTAAATAACTCTTTAAAGCTCTTCGATAATAAGACATCTGAGTAATTTGTAGTGAAAGTTTTATTTTGGATGTTTAGAACAAACATACTGTGCAAAAGCAGCAATATCATATCCAAGCAGAAATTTTCAATGTTACCTGTTTTAAACACATTATAAGGCAGCATTTTAAGGCTGTAGTTATGTTAATTATCCTTAAGTATCTTAAAATACTTTTCTATCTTAAGATACCTCATTATAGCACAATTATATGGCAGCATGTGTCCTTCACAGAGAAGCCCTGTACTGCAACAAGTCTGTAGTGTGATTTGTGAGGTGCTCACAGTGCTGTTCACGTCATGTTACAGGTATAATGCATAGGAACGCCACCAAAAAGTTATGATTATGAGTGGGAACCTCTGAACTTTCTTTAAAGTAACAGTTAATCCAAAAATGAAAATCTGCTGAACATTTACTCACCCTCAGGCCACACAAGATGTATACGAGTTTGTTTTAATTTAGCATTACATTACTTGCTCATCAGTGGATCCTCTGCAGTGAATGGGTGCCAGTCTACCAATTGTCTTGTGAAGTGAAAAGCTTCATGTTTGTAAGGAACAAATCCATTTTTAAGATGTTTTAACTTTAAACTGTTGCTTGTGGACAAAATACTTAACCCATAATACTCCATAATCCATGATAACGCTTTCTCCAGTGGGAAAGTCCATTTCCTGTTGTTCCCTTACAAATCTGTTTTGGCTTGTAAACTCCTAATTCAGGTGGCTTTTTTAAAGGAGGAAACAATATTATGGATAGAGGACTTATTTAATGTTAAAAATGTCTTGATGGATTTGTTTTATACAAAGCAGCTTTTCTCTTCACAAGATGTTAATTGATGGACTGGAGTGGTGTGGATTATTGTGATGTTTTTATCAGCTGTTTGGACTCTCATTCTGACGGCACCCATTCACTGCAGAGGATCCATTGGTGAGCAAGTGATGTAATGCCAAATTTCTCCAAATCTGTTCCACAACTCATCTACAACAATTTTTGGGTGGACTATTCCTTTAAGCCCAGAGTTTCCAAGTTGGGGATGAGTCAGATGCAATATTGTCGGTGGATTTCCTGAAACAAATTATTATTTTTCCAGTTGCATGCCCAAATTGCAACAGTATTTTATAATTGTGATAGAATATTTAACATATTTAAATTCAATCCACAGCACTTTATATATCAAATAAAAACATAAAATAGCAAAAACACACTGATGCACATTCTTTATTCATCATGTTGTAGAAGGAGTTTTTAATGCACTGACCAAATGACTTGAACACACATAACACTGAAATTATGACTTCCCAAATCGTAAATATATGAACTTCCCAGGAGGACTTGAACGTGTCATTTGTAGAATGATCCGAATCAGTCACTTGTGAGGTTCCACTGCTGTCTTAAAAGGCAGCTGACTATGTAGGCAGCTCACTTCAAAAACCACAGAAGGTCTGAAGGGTTTAAATCTGAACATACTTGCATGATTTCAGCGTGTCTCTCTGAGACTTGTTTAATATGTGGTTGAGGCGTTTTGCGTTAACAGCAGCTAGCTGGCTAAAGCTCTCTGCTTTGTTCTCCAATCCCGAGGTTAACGATTTTCCGTCGTGGGAGGTGGGGGAGAGCAGCGGCAGAATTAGGATTCAGCTCCCATCCTCAGCGCCGAGCGGCTGTCTGCTGCCTACCCAGCAACCCTGGCACTTTGTGACGAGATGGATGATATCTGCAGCCTGGCCGGCCGCTCT